ATCTGGTAAAGGTTGTATCGACCACATCTTTACTCTTCATCAAACTCTGGACACTGACATTCCTTTCGTAGACCCACCATCTCTGTCTTTCTCGATCTGAAAGCGGCTTTCGACTCAATCGACCGCTCTAAACTCTGTCGCTGCCTTTCTCTAAAAGGTGTGCCCGAGAAGTTTGTTTCAGTATTACAATCCCCTTATACAAATAACCGAAGTCGAGTATAAGCTTACGGCAACTTTTCACCCGAGTTCCCCACAGAAAGTGGTGTTCGACAGGTTTGCCTCTTCCTCCTTTTCTATTTAACTTTGGTATAGATCTGAGTATCGAAACAGTTCTATCCTTGAGCGAGGATAGCGGTATAGATTTACTCCCAGATGGCAGCTGTCTGATCTAGAATATGCAGACGACATTGTGCTACTAAGTGGAGATTAAGGTAAGTTACAAGTCTTTCTAGATAGTTTGAGTGCTAGTGTAACCAGGTTCGGTATGCGTTTTGCACCTTTAAAGTGTGAAATGTTACTTCAAGACTGGATTGTTCCTACACCCAGCCTCACCCTAACTGTGGAAATAATAGACCAAGTTGAAAAATGTTGTTATCTGGGCAGGTATATCTCACCTGGTGGACGCATCACGGATGAAGTGTCAGCTCGCATACAGAAGGCTCGATTGGCATTTGCCAACTTGAGTCATTTGTGTCGCCGTCGCAACATCCGGCTGTCCGTGAAGGGTAGAGTGTATGCTGCGGCAGTTCGGCCAGTTCTGCTATACGGTGCAGAAACTTGGCTAGTAGAGTAACAGGATAAAGATCGACTGTCAGTATTCGAACACCTCAGTCTACGCAGTATTGCACGAGTCTGGTGGGGCAGCCCGATGAGCAATGCTGAGGTTAGGCGCAGAGTTTTAGGCAACCGCGGTCGCCCACTGGAGCAAGTGGTCGACCTCCATATATTACTTTGGTTGGGGCATGTGTTACGCATGTCACCAGGTAGATTGCCACGGCGAGCCATGTTCGCCAAAAGTCAACGGTGGAAGAAAGTCTAGGGTGGGCAAACTAAAACCTGGTAGGAGGGTATGAAAACCCTAACCAGGAGTCTGGGTTGCATAAGTCCCGTTAGGCTCCCTGAATGGGGATCTCAGGATGATCATACCCGATGGTTGGAAACACTGAGTGATAGTGCCGTAAACAGTGTCGTTCGTGCATTTGCAAAATGAGTGCAATTAAATCCTCAATTCCCTCTTGGATCCTACTTTCAGCCATTCCTGTCTTTCTCCTTATGTTCATCCTAATGGGTAGCCAAAAGAGAGCAACCAATATCGGTGCACGATAGTGCATGATTATTGGTTGTAGAAACTGAAACTGAAACCACACAAACACAATGGAGGACTACTCGAAAACACAGACGCAGACAAAGAAACGAAAACTTTTCGAGTTCTGATCAGGTGCACAGCTCAGGAAAGTATCCACACATCCGATCTGCCTTCGAATTTTCAGAAGACTTACTTGGTGCGCACCTCATACGTAGGCGCCTCAAAATAATGTGCCAAACAGTCCGTGTTCATGGGTAATAGCAAGAAACCCAGCTTGTTTTGCAACACACCCAATACAGTGGGAGAGACTGAGCTGAGTTGTTTCAAGGTCTCCGCCTGGTTAAAGCCACATTGGGGTTTTGATGATTCTGTTGAACTGTTCCCGTTGTCCGAAGCACCACCTCTTTTCAGTCGGACAGAAGATTCAAATTGTCCGGCCATCCGCGTGACGTAACCGTCAGAATATTCCTGTAATGTTCGCACCACCTCACTCAGGTACTTCGGTTTGACTGGTAAACTAGGCGGTTTGTGATTTCGATAGAGTGGATTTCCAGCTCGTATCTCACTTGGTTTGACCAGTTGATGATTCTGAATACTGTCCTCAGATGAATCACTGACTCCGTTCGATGATGCAGTGGATGCTCGGTTTGCGCGATGATTGGAGGTCAAACTCGATTGCGAGGGAGAACTGGTAGCATTGGATTTTGAAGAGATTTGTGAACCATTCAAATCACAACCTGGTGCCACCCAAGATGAACTACGTTTTCTATTTGACACTATCGGAACATCTGGAACATTATCCGCTTTCTGATCTAAATAGAATAATCTGGTTCCCAACAGTGGGAGTTGATCTTTGGCTCTTGAGTCCGCTCTGGCTGCATACATGGACAAGAGTGTGTCCGTTTGAAGCACACAGTACATACGACACAAGCAGATAGTCGGCTGGGTATATTGTGAAGGGGAGCGGGCCTTAAGATTAGGACTCAAAAGTTCTGACGAACTGCTGAAATCTTTGGAGGAGTTAGACCCTTGACGCATTGGGTAATTTGACTTTCGTCGGGGACCAGAAGGTTTGGTAACATCGGAATCATCGTCGTTACCGGAGCTGACAGCAACACGAGATCCCGAATCACCTTTGAGATCCCCCGTATCTGTCTGGATGGGGAAAAATATGGAAGTGGTCGACTGAGACTGGCAGAACGGTTCCGCATTTAATGTCAAATACTTGTGCTGAGGAGCAGATTTATTATAACGAATATTTGGTCGAGCGTTCCACGTATTCTGGCTGTACACGCACCAGTAGAGATAGCCGGTTTCAATTGAAGCAGAGTCCTGAAACAGTATTTAGGTCAAAACATTTGTTATATTTTAATCGAGAATAACAAAACCATTCAAAAGCATATGAAACAATAACAACAATTATAGTGAAGATATTTCAATTTAAGCATACGAGGTGATTGCTTGAAGCAGACCAAAATCTTTTTCGCTTCCTCACTCTTAACGAGGCAGCGACAAGCAGCTTCGTTGATCAAGCGGTTATGTGTAGTCTATTCAAGTCTGATTATAATCACCAACACTTTCAGTTATGCTTAATATGTTTGTAGTCATACAAAAATCTGTGAACTAGTGATCTCGAATCTTACTCCGGAGATACAATAGGACAATACACAGAGTTTGGTGTCTGGTAATTAGGACAGACCTTGCAAAATGTTCAGTTGATACACCCATTGATGATCGTAAACTATTCAGTGATCGAAATGGCTTACAGCTTGAAGTTACGCGCTCCCCCTGTACCGCTTAGAACAGAGAACTTAGTACGCCATGCTTACCAGTGCGACAGCTTTCCAAGGATAGTTTTTGACTTTCACAGGTGAAACAATGTCAGTGTAAGTTCAATCACATCTGTGAGAATATCAATCCGTAAAAAGAGGGTAGCGGGCTAGAGTTGTACCGGTTTTCAGAGTTTGAGGAAGCCATTTGGAATGCACGAAGCTTGGACCAACAGCTTAAGAGCACTTTTGTTTTGGTTGGTGATTCATCTTTTTCACGAAAGCGAGATTTAAAATGATCGGTATCCTTGTAAATTAAAAAAACCGGGTTTTGCTTGCGTTCTAAATGATACTAAAAGCCCGGTTTACAACACCCTCGGTGTCTCCCTACGCCAAACCGAATTGTATCTATAAGTTTAAGTGAGGATGTTCGGCCATCTATGTCAGCAGAACGGAAAGACAACTGCGATACCGAGTAATAGAGGACACCCCGGTCTGGATTCAGAAAACAATGATTGAAAACTCTGGAATTATGACATCTGTCGGAAACTTAGTTGATCCATCCCAGAACACCTCGTCAAAATTAAGCACTATGCCATACTGCATAACGCGTTTAGACTCGTCTGCAGAACAAAGAACACCCAGGTTCTGAAATATGCCGAGGCTCTTGCCATTCCAAATTACCATCCCCAACGGCGCCACCCTGAAAACAAATGTGTTTGATGAGTGATTTTTACGTCAATCTTTCTTCGCCTATGATTCTGTTATTTCTGACCATATAGTGATAATCGTATAAACTGCAGTATGCACGTGTATATATGCAGCAAAATGACGTTCCAGGATAAACGATGTAAACATTTCTTGAAATGTCTATTCAAATAATATGTATAACAAAGAAATTGGCTCATAATTTACGCACATGTTTGAAAGAGATGAACCAGCTTAATCCAATCTTCGAATCGGTGTTAAGCCCTATTTGGGTGACACTTAAAAACATGGGCAATCAGTAATTACAGGCGCCGATAACGTGCTACCTAGTAGTTGTTTAGATTAGATGACAGCGATCAGGAAACGGAACCGCATTGTTCCACTGACGGGATCCAGAGCTATGTTGTTAGCGATTACAAGACTTAACTGGGTATCAGCGTGGCGAATTGGTCCCTCAAATACAATGTTCGGAACCCATCACCACCAATAAGCTATGCAGCGAAAAGCTTTCCTGTCGCTAGATTCATTACCGAGTCTATGCATACTGGGGTATTATGAGATTTCGCGCGCCTGATCCCTTAGCTTAGAATATCGGGCACCAAAAGCAGGTAATTGGTTTTTGTCTCGCCAACGATAAGATCACCAAACTGGGTAACAAAATAACAGACTTCTGAAACTGTTAGCAATCGTTCATTCGAATGCTAGCAGTTTAAACAAACGGATAGCCCACAAACGGTCGGGTGGTTGATTGCGATAGGCGGTTAGTGACTGATAATGAGGATGATCAGTCCCTATCACTGATTAAATTACTGATCTCTGTGGTCAGAAAGCCGAGTGTATAGACCCTTTTGGACAATGGTCTTTTTTTTACTTTTGGTCTCTCTTTCAAAACGAACACCGACATTTTTCTTCGGATTTACTTCGCTTGAATAAGGGGATATTAAGGACGACAATGTACCTCATTCTCATATTTTCTATCCGAAAAATGTTTAACTGGGCAAAACGAAATGCAACCGAATATCAAAGAGGAGATAGAACCTATAATTAATAATTTTTGGTTTTTCTTCATTATGGACCATAATTAAAACGATAATTAATGTATAATGTTATCCATTGGTTGGATGATAAATTAGTGTGCAGCTGCTTGGAATGAGGCGATCGGTATGTGCTTGTGCAAATAAAGGTCTCATCGTTGGTTAATGTGACTTTTATCAGTGAGATCTCCATTTAACCTAGCCAGTGGCTAGCGTAGTGTGACACACTGGACTTCACGATTTCACAACACATAGTAGGGCGCTCAGTGAGTAATACGAAATGATGTGATGAACAAAATAAGACTCAATATTTCGAAAATAAACGAAATAAACCATTGCTAAGCAACGGCATTGTGAGGAACCTGGGCACCATACTGAGAAAGATGGAGCACAGAATGTTGAGGCACACGTTCAATACATCTCACTAAACTAAGAAGCTCGAGAACAGTTTCTCGCAGCACCAAAAAAGCAGTCCAGATTATTCAAGGGCCCTAACACCCTCACGGATTTGTACTATTTGTTGCTCGTGATGTAAACTATAATCCGATGCGAGGACTCTCGGACGGACTGACTGTATCCATCACCAGTCTTTATAGTTACTATTTCAAGTTGCATTGGAATTCCACTGTACTGTTCCATATTGCACGGTGAGAACAATAACAGTGTAGGCAGATAGATATACAGATGGTGTTGGCCATGACTCGTGTACAAGTGAACCGGACTTCGCATTCGATTTGGTTTCGAACGCGTGTGTGTGTGTGCATGTGTTGATACGTGATTATGAATCAACAGGAATCCGGACATGGATCACGTGTGATTTATTTGACAAATCGATGATCGCAATTCGATGGATCAGTGACCAAACAGTTCATTGTGTGAGAGGAAAACACGCACTCAGTGGGTTAAACATCGGTGTGGTGGTGGTATTTACAAAACGACCTTACAAGACCCCGATATTGAGAGAGAGAGGGTTCCAGTCGAGCATGTGTTGCTGCACATTAGATCACATTGTGAACATGGTCGATCGATATCGAACACGTTGCAAGTGGCATTTTGTGTATGATTCATGATTGATATACATGGAGATACTAGTCTAGTCGGAACACTAGACCCATTAAGAAATACATTTTGCGTTATAAAAATGGTCTACAGTTGGCCGGTAGCTCGAAGCCAATGTTTCACCACAAACTCTATAAATACAAACTACAGCCACTATGCTCTTAGGAGCAAAGATTTGACGGTTTCTGTAATAAATGCTGAATAGAATTCTAGTTTATTTTATGACTCGTAATGCTGATTTATTTCTCCATAAAAGCGGACAGCAGTTTCCTTTTAAGGTTTGACGACGCCCGCATGATTAGGACCACAACTGTTGAACAACGATTTGATTTTATATATTTCTACTGATTACACATACACATAGTAAAAACTGGCCTCGGAATTCACCAATCATTCCCAGCTCCTTTTACCACCAAAATTGGATGGATTTTGGCTGAACAAAATCAGTGATACGGAGGAGAATGAAGAGATGTGTAAAATAAATCAGAGATCCAATTCCAGGCGCAGATGTAACCCACTGAATGCAGAACAAATGGACATTTGAATAGCCTGAGATTCAAACATTGGCAAGTGTATCATCATGCAACATCAACATGTTACGCATACATTCAAGACGGAAAGGGGTCTGCAGCATCATAAGCATCCTCATGTGAAAACCTTAGCGGTTGATATCCGCGAAGCTTGTGAAGGGCATCCTTAAGTCAAGCGGATGCAGGTTAGCGTCCCATGGAAGAAATAGGTGGGCACCGTAGCATGAAAAGTGAACGTGGGACCCAGTGCTGATGGTATGACATGAGCTATTAAAAGCTTGGTTGACAGTCATCACAACTGACTCATGTGTGGACTCGTTGAGAATCTTGTGCTAAGTTTTCACATACATTCATATATTGTTCATACAAATTAGTTATCAACTCCTCTAGTGGAATTGAAGAGACGCGGCTAATGATGATCAGTACACATCGAAGAAGTTCAAAATCTTCCTTTAGGAGATTGGAAAAAACAACAGGTGGAAAATGAGGTAAAACAGGGGATATGCACTAGTATACAAATTTGGAGATAATCCCTTGTTGAATAAAAAAGCTGATAAAGTTTAGGGACATGGAAAGAAAGCCGTCGAAGTTTGCTGACGAAATGTTGAATGTGAGATCCAACGAAGATTAGCATCCATAAAACCCTCAGGTATTGAACACAGCTTACCCGGAATACTGGATCAGAGTCAGCTGATAACGGTTCAGATGAAGAAGACGAATGTGATAATGTTAAGAGACATTCGATACATTTGGAGGGAATAAGAGGGAGGCCAGATGTGGCGGAAACTGTTCCAAGTTGTCAGAAAACTGCGAAAGATCAGAACAATTGGAGACGGCCTGAAATCGTTAGCGTAATTGAAGAGATCTGAGCAGAAGTTGAATGTCGACACGACAATTCAACGGGATTTAAATTATGTTTTCACATCCTTGTGTGTTGAACAGCAAACGGAACGAGCCTCCTAGTCACAAGGACCAGCTGCTCACCCACAGAAGCCGGCAAACCGAGCCCCAGATCTTGAAATGGGTAAATAAAATAAGGTTCAACTAATTTCGGTTTGGCATTGGAGCAAAATGGCAGAGAAAGTGCCAGTGGTGATAGTGGTACGTTTCCACCTTATAAAGAAAACGGGCTCAAGAAATGTAGGTGTGAGTGAGGTAATCCTGGAGCAAGATATCACACTGATTCATTTGGAGCAACGCCGCTTTGAAAGGTAGGCCGAACATTTCGAGGCTCAGTTCAACTGGCCTGCATCGACATTAGAGCTGCTAACCCCACCTGAATTGGATAACTACGGCCTGTTACCATCATGCGTCTTTCTGAAATGGATATTTTCTCAAAAGGTATGAGTCCGTCATTTTACCGATTTACAATGCTTGTTGATAGATTTGTACTTCTGATGAGACCCGACCCGGTCAAAACAGGTGTACAGTGCTTGTTGAGCTTCCAAGTGCAGCTCCTACCTCATGGACTATAACTATATAACTATATATAAGCTGGCCAAATCATTTCTTACTCCTTTGAACCTGAAATATATTGGGATTTATCATGACACACGGGTATCATACCGGCCGATCGAAATGAAATTGTAAAAAGCGAGAATCACACGAGTAGTAATGAATGCTAAAATACCTCAGTATGGGGGGATGAATAACACAGTGGCGAAACGAGAGATAGGGTCCTAACACGTATGAGGAAATTAAATCGGAACGATGAGTACGCATAGAGGCAGGAAAGAAACTGACTAACAAACAAATAAGATAACACAGACAAACTGACCTTTTGGGTGCGACGCAAAATCCCCTCCAAGATTGCAGTTGTCGGCGGTTTCAAATCCCCATGAATCAGATAGTAGTCGATCACGCAGACCCTTTTCACTTTTCCTCCGAGGAAAGCAATCGGGGCACGATAGGCTGAACAAGATCCACAGAATACCTGATGAACAATCGGAATGTACGATCGGGATCTCACATTAGGGATCTTGGGATGGTGAAACGCAACACTGAAACGCGAAAGTTTAGAGCTAGATCGTGCATATATGATGAGTCCGTTGACGCATGCTTACAATACGACGAAACAAAGTTTGCGTCAGAGGATTGGCACATTGACCTAAAATGGAGAAATCAAATAAATTTTTCCAGTTTCAGAAATAAGGAAAAGAATAAATAAATGTGTTCGGAGCATACTACTAAAGCGTCATTCCAGTGCAGTCTGAAGATCGTATTCACAAGTGGACAAATGAGAGAGTGCTAGCAAAATGGCTAAGGCTTTTGGGGCACGGTATATTTGGCGATAGCCCACACCAACGAAGGAGATTTTCTTTGGGAACCCTAACTGGAGACTTTGACTCAAAATTCTGAAGCACAAGGCAGTGGGCCGTAGATCCAATGCGGGAGAGTGAATGATGCACCCGTGTGGAAACCTCTGAAGACTCGTCACTCAAGTCCTTTGAATTTCGGTTCAGTGTGTTGTCCGCTGGTGTGTTGATTATCGGTCCGCTTTTCGGGATCGGCCCTTAGCCTCATGCACCCAAGGAGATGAGCGGAAAGTGCACGGGACAGCACTTTATTGGCTGGGGGCGGCCCAGCTTTGGCGGGCGGTGGCTGTCTAGTGAAGTGCGAAGGCTTCTCACACCGTCAGGAAGAAGCCCCAGGTACCCCGCTCCTATATCCATCTAAGGGGTATTTTCTGACCGGTAAACTGCACCTCCCCGTGTTTTTTGCTGGAATGACCTCTCCAGGGAGTGGATAGTCAAAAGAACCCAGGACATGCCAAAGCAGCTGGCTACCGATTTCCCTGTGTTTGCCAACGCTGACAACTCTCCTAATTATGAGCATCTTACATGTTATCTTAATTTTTGCTATGACCTGTGTTGCCCAGTTGAGACCTTATATATTCGAACTAACAGATTCTCTTCGTCTCTTCTAAAACGGCTTCGCCGTGATAAAGAAAAGGCTTACAGGACTGGAAGGCGCAGTGTTGTCAAACGACTATCATTATTGATCAAAATGTAAATAAAGCGCCTAAATCGGATATATACCAAAACCCTTATGGGAAACCAGAGTTGCCGTGATGTGTGGTCTGCTTTGAAGCAGCTCTGTGCATCACGCAACAGATCTTTTTTGGATGTTGAGGAGCTAAACCGTCAATTCGCAAATGCTACTATAAGGAACTCAACACCATCTTTATTTACATCTACTGGGGAGAACCAATCTGTTACCCCTGTGGAAGTCCTGAATGTACTCACGTCCCTTAAATCTAACAAAGCACATGGCCCTGATTCGTTGTCCCCCTTCCTACTGAAAGAGGGCGCTGAATAACTTTCTTCACCTAGTTCCGAGTTGTTCAATTTATGTATGTCATCTGGAAGCATCCCTGATTGCCAGAGAGCTGCTCGGATAACCCCAATTCCCAAAAAAGATCTTCCAAATATCGACCGATTGCCTGCACATCAGCATTATTGAACGTTTTCGAAAGGGTCCTTCTTAACCGGCTGACCCTTTTATCTGTCACCCGTGACTTTATTAAGTTTGCATACAAACGTTCGCTTTCCACTCTTGATGCTGTTGCTCACGTTGTTCACTCCGTTTCATCCCTGTTGAATAAAGGGGCTGGAATTGTCCGTTTAACTTTTCTTGATTATGCTAATGCTTTCGGATCACTTGACCGCGGCATTCTCATTCAACGTCTTTCGGATTGTGGTTTAATACCTATTTTACTGAATGTACTAATTAATTGCTTAACTCATCGGATGGAATACACTTTTTGTAATGGTAAATCTTCCTCCCTCCTGGAAGTTAACTCTGGAGTTTTTTAGGGTGCAATTTTGTCTTCATTTCTGTTTTTTTATTATCTTTTAAGGACCTTCCCATCCCTCCCAACTTTATCGCCTGCAAGTATGCTGATGACGTGGTGGTCGGCTGTCCCTCGATTGTTCC